ATAACAAGCACATTTTCACAGAAATCGTAAGCTTATTTGCAAGGTCGTGAAATGACAATGTTAATGCACTATAAGGCGGTAATATATAATGAAGTTATATGCGGAGTTTTCTTGTAGCAGGTGCGAAACCCGTTTCTTATGGTGCTTATTAAATTCTTTCACTGGTTGTATTTGTAGGAGAATTACCTGCCGCTTCTTTTTGTATACATGCGTTTAGCAGTGAAATTTGTTTAGTTCTCTCGTCTTACATGACGGTTTTTTTCAGTGGGACGCAAGAAGTGGTGAAATAACGCAGGAGTATGACCGTCATTTGGGGGCTGTTAACACTATAACGTTCTTTGACCAGAACCGACGATTTTGCTCAACGTCGGACGATAAATCGATGAGGATCTGGGAATGGTATTGAAATAGATTATGCTGTTTGTTTTTCATGTTGGCCATCAATTTTAGGGAAATCCCGGTCGATACGAAACTCATTCAAGACCCTGGCCTGCACTCGATGCCTACTGTAACTCTGTCACCCAATCGTAAGTCATTTTACGTTGCTGTAGTGTGTTTTTGATTCAGTACGATGGGTGAATGACTAACTAAGGCGCTCGTTATCAGAATGATTACGCAACTTTATCCACGCATACTTTCTTTGGCATCAATGAATTTTAAAAAAGTGTTTTTGTTGCAACTATAACGCAAGTGTGTAATATTGTCTACTTGTCATTCAAGGTCACAGTCATTCTGCGGAAAGGAAATATCTAGAATATAAGATACCATTGAGTTTTTAGTGAATCTTTCCACTGTAAACAAGGAAAAACCGTAGATAAAATTCTGTAGCTATTCTTTTGTTCCGATTTGTCCTGAGAGACCTGGTTCTTGCGTTTTTCTCATTGTGAAGATCAGACGTGAAGACTTTGACGTATTCTGACCCAGTCAGCTTTAGTAATTGTAGTGTGCGAAGTCTGTGTCATTTCTTCAAGACAGACCGGTCTGCTTCGTTGAAGAAGATTTTAAAACTTCTGCTCTTTGTTCGTAGCCTTCGATATAATTTATGGCGTATGCTTCAAAAACTAAATGTAGTAATGCTTAAATTCTTTGAACGCTAACTTGATATAGTACCTGTTTAAACTGATCACCGACAACAGCAACAGTTGATTGATCTTTCTTCATAATTAACGAGGGTCATCTTTGCCCAATCTCGATGTCAACGCATGTTTGTCTCGTTTGATTTGTATGTCTCTGACTTGACTGTACAAGCTTGAATGCCTCTTAGCTCATGGTCCCATGTGAAGCGAGGTCTTCCTGTTGGGCGCTTGCAGCCTACTGGGCTTGATACCCAGTTGATTGATCACGGCTGAATTCCATCGGCCATTTTTTAGCCGTGCGACGTAGTCCACCTTATATCAGCCCGAGTACGTCCCGGGCACTGGTGGGCCACTTTTGTTTGTACTTTCTCTTTCTTTCAGGCTTGGCAATACTTTCGGTTATTGTCCACACTTTTTGTCCACACTTCGGTTATTGTCCACACCAGACTTTTGGAAAGAACGTCCATTTGTCCTTCACCCTGACCGAATGGAGTTCCAGATGACGACTCTGCGAGGCTTTGGCCCACTCAGAATTTTCCGCACTGAGCTACGGCACAGTCACTTCCTTTCCGGTAGTTTTTTTCTGTACTACGGAGAGGTAACTCATCTCGAGAAGCTCAGCCTATCATAATTCAGTAAGATGTTTGAATTGCTTTGGTTGTTCCATTTTGAGCAGAATTTGCCAGCCAGTCAGTGTTAATGGTATCGCTGCCAATTTTTTGGTTTAGCTTTTGGTGGAGCAAAAGTTTAAGTGCATTTAATTCCAAAAAATTGCGCTTTGTTGGTTTGTGACCCGAAGTAAGTTGAACGCGAAAAAATGGAATGAAGTTATTGAGTTTTGACCCCTACTTGGCGCATCATTTCGTGGCAATACTTTGAGAAATCTTCTAGCAGTACTCTTCCTTCGTAGATACATTACTTTCGTCTAGCATGGAAAATTTTAATATCAGTTCAAATATTAATATCAAATATTTATTTTAATGTTAATTTTTATCGTTGAACGTCTTGCAAGTTCGTTATTTTCTTAGTTCTTTAATGAAATCCTCTTCTAGAAAGTTATAGGAATTTACCATTGTGTTCATTTTCGTTTGAAGTTGCAGTTTAGACATTTTATTTATGTCACGTAAGTTCCAAAACCGTATTGAATTTGTAAAGTTCTTTCATACAAACGGTCAACAGCAGTTTGTATACAGTCATATACACGTTTATTCTCTTCCTCGCTTGACAAATCTGGCAGTTCGTAATCAACAGTTAGTTCACTGAGTTCGTCTTTCACGAGAAATGAGCAGGTTGTATGTCGTTGGTCAGTGTAGTCTACTAAAATTATAGTTCTACGGTTTAATACAGCAACTGCTTCACCTGCACGGGCAAACTCCACCCTCTTTATTGCCGTTAGCCTTGCAGTCTAACTTCTGAACTCGCGGTAACATGAATTTCGCATTTGCGTGCTTTATGCAGCTTTTGTCGTTTAGTGTGCTGGACTGTAATTGTGTCGTTCACTGTAAATGGTGGTGTTTCCTCGCGCAGTTCTTCATTTGAAGGGCTTTCGCGAAGCAGCTGCAATGAAAACTCAGTAGCATAAAGTTTTCCGACAAATTCCAGGAGTTAAATGCATTGTAGTGACCGAATATGAGCTTGGTTGGTATTTAACGTTTGAATAGAGCTCTGAAAATTGTGCTTAAAGCATGAAATAATATTCGTTTATTTAATAAGATGGATTTTAGAGACAAATGTGTGTTTCCCTGCTTGCATTGAAGGCTGAGGCTTTAGGCAGACCTCAGTATGAAGGAGGAC